ACCCCCTCTCCACAAGCAATACTGAAAAAGTTAAAAAAATTTAAGTAAATTAATTTGCATAACGGAACTTGGTTTTTTTTAAACACCGGAATATCGTTTCCCCTCAATTTCCGAGTGGAGTTTCCTTTCACCAAGATCGATAGCGTATTCAAACAAGAAATAAAATAAATGAAGAACTAAATATTAATCTTATCGTCTAAGATAGCCTTTTTAAACAAGAAATAAAATACAGAAAGAACTACATATTAATCTTATCGCCTATAATATTGACACTTTCATTGTGTTCTTTTTATCGTCAATTTTCGTGCGGTAAGTAAAATTGGGATGCGACAAGTAAATTCTCCGCACTCAAATTGACATTTATTTTACTCAAAATGCGTGTTGTTATTGTAAAGTATGTAAACAGCGTCTTTCCGACCCCAATAGCAACCGAAAAGATAGTACTTTCCCCGAATGAGTAATAAAAAAACATTTGTACAACTCAATTTTCTTTGTTTTCAGATTCCTGTGCATCTTGCATGTTAGCGAGGGTGGAACAAGAAAGACTTGAGAGTCTCAAATACGATAAGGCTGTTATTTATATCAAATGTGTCGATGACAGTGACGATTTCAAGGCGGAGATCACAACAGAGGTCATTTTTAATAAAAAATTTTTTTTATTTTGCGTATCTGGTATTAGATCGAAAGGAAAACGTCTCGATTGTCCTTTTCGTTGGCGCTTCATTCGAGAATTCTTTATTTCTCTCTCTCTCTTTTTTCAATTCAAGATCTCTTATTCGTAGTCCTCGAAGATGGACGACGAGGAATTTTGTTAATGGCCCTACGTGCCGAGTCACCAGAGAGAGAAAGAGAGATAGTTTTCTTCTTCAGAAACCGGTCGCACCTTTAGTTTGATGTTACCCGATAAGACGATTCTTTCAGAATCTCGTTTCTCTTATAGTAATAATAATAATAATATTAAAAACAATAATAATTGTTATTACGTTTGATTGTCTTAAAAATATAGCATCTTATTTCTCTTAATTTTTTCGTTTTTTTTTTCAAAAAAGATCCTCACATATTTTTTCTTTCTTATATCTTCTTAGAAAAGTATTCTCGTTTGTAATGTAAGAAATGGGATTATAAAAATTAATATGACGCGTTTGAACACGTTGTTGCAGGTCGCCGCTAAAAGACCAAAGATGAACAATTCGAGACCTTCTAGGACAAGAAGAAAAGTCAAAGGATCCCACGAATTGAAAGTTTCGTCGGAGATAACATTGAAGGAACTAAAAGTTATGGTAAGGATATTTTAATCGTTTGAGTACCATCATAAGTCGCTTTCGAGCTTTTTAGATTTCTCGTCGAAAAAAAACCCAGCGCATTTCGTCGATAAAGACAACTAACGGCGGCATGCTCCCACAGATTGCCGACCTATAATTAAAGGTGGTGCGCAATTGCGCTCTTTGGCTTTTTTCGACACTTAACTCGACGGAGCACTGTTGTGTTGCTCGGCTTTTTTCGATCATATTTTTTTTAAACCCTCCGGTACGTGAACGGTTAATTAAAAAAAAAAAGAAAAAAAACAAGTGAATCAATAAAATAAAATTCGTCCGATTATTTGTTAAACGAGACGATCATCGACAAACACACATTCAGTCAATCGGTTAATCAGCTACCACCCCCTGGTTGAAGGTGAAACTGAACTGCAATAAGTTTAAGGTAGCTTGTTCGTTAATCCTATCTTTTCCAGTTTCCTTTTCTGTTCCTATATCCGAGCATCCCCCGTACCTCGTTCATTGGTTGGGTTGCCTTCCTCGGGCTGACTGGCTGGCTGGTTGGTTGGCGCATCGCCGGACAAAAGTAGTAAAGCGTAGTTATGGCTGGTTAGCATATGCCTGGGCCCTGGCAGTGTGCTTAAACTATTAAGCGTATTTATATTGCGAGGGCTGGGACCACATCTCCCTTTCTTGGCTTGGGCAACCGGCAAAAAGCCGAAAGAGCATAAACCTCGCGCTAATAACAGGCCTCCGACTTATCCACTCCACTTCACTCCACTTCGCTCCACTCAGACTTCCATCTAGGTCTTTCCTTTTCTTTCTCTTTCTCTTTCTCTTTCTCTTTCTCTTTCTCTTTCTCTTTCTCTTTCTCTTTATCTCATTCTTTTTCTTATTTTTTTTTCGTTTTTTTTTTCTTTTCATTCCTCCTTTCTTCCCTCATTTCTTATCCTTTTTCTTTTTCCTGTTACCGTTGCTTCTTCTTCTTCATCTTCATCTTCTTCTTCATCTTCTTGTTCTTCTTCTTCTATATATTTTTCATAGTCTCTTCGTAAGATATTCCTTTTGAGCCAAGATAGTTGATCTTTTCTAATATTTTCTGGTAAATTCTTTTCATCAGGCATCAATAGGAATACACAAAGTTTCATCTTTTTTCATTCATTCATTCGTTCATTCATTTGTTCGTTCGTTCATTCATTCATTTCTTTCTTCGATTTTATTCGATTTTACGGGGTACACACTTTGGTGTGATAAAAAGAAGAACTCTTCACGCTTTAGATCGTTATTGGAAAACATCGAAAGAGAGAGAGAGGGAAAGGTAGAGGGAGATAAGGATCAAGGGTGCCGGATCAACAGTAGCAGCATCTTCTTTCCTCGTTGTCGTCGTCATCGTCGTCATCGTCGTCATCGTCGTCATCCTGAAGAAGAAGAGAAATATGTCGAGCGAGCGCGCGTTCTTCGCTTTTTACATGTTGGCAAAAAGGTGCGAAGCTCGATAAAAATGTTTGAATTTCATGGTCGAGTGCGGACAAGTGGTGGTAGCTTGCGCCCGCGAAACAGAGAGAGATGGAAAAAGAGAGAAAGAGAAAGAGAATAATCAGAAACATAGAAAAAGACAGAGAAACATGATGGGCAACTCGCAATGGCGTTGGCGTTTACGTAATCGTCGTAAACTCGATATTACCTTCTCTATCACATTCCAAGTCACCCGTTCGATTCTTTTTCTCAATCGTTTCTTTCGTCCGAGAACTATAGGTGTTTTGAAACGAAGTGGGGGGAAAGGGGAAGAAAAAAATTAAAAAAAAATAGAAAAAAAAGGAAAAGAAAAATAATCTTAAAAGAATATCGTATTGTGTTTCTTCACCATTTCTTCGACATTTCTTCGAAAGAACTTCGATGGTTATCATTGTTGTCTTTCAAAGAGAGAGAGAGAAAGAGAGAGAAAGAGAGATAGAGAGAGAAACGGTAGGAGATTTCTTTCGAAGCAATAGTACCGTGTAATTACAGCCCACTGTGTTCCTGCTGTGTTTCTGTTGGTAGATTCTAATAATTCGAAAGGTGAATATAAGCCTTAATGTCGTCGTCAGGAAATTCGTGGAATTACGTAAAAAAACGCGTTTAATTGTGGAAACCGATTCGTTCTGTAAGATAAAAATGATAATATTCGCTAACTATTGTCTTTCATTAATACATTCACCGTAATACATATCTATTTTAATTTGCCATCGTCATATTGAATATATGAAACAAAGTTTCTTATTGTAGGAAAATATTTTCTTATTGTAGTTGTCTATAACTAACATAAGTAGTTAGGGGAGTATAGTTGCATGTGAGATTCGTATCGATTGGAATTCTTTAGTAGTAGCTGTAGTAGATTTCGATTAGACATCCGAAGTTTCTGCTGATATTGTTGTTGTTGTTGTTGTTGGAAGAAGAGAATGAAAGGATCGAACTTTAGTTAACCAACAGCTTTAACCCACCAGCAATTTTCCAGCCACTCCTACTTTGCCTTCTCTCGATCCTGTTAAACCTACCTCTATTTATCGCTTTTGTCGGATGGTTTTCGTGCTACAAGTAGAAAGAGGAGACTTCAACGAAAGAGCCTTCGAGGTTTCATGACTCTTACAGGAATATAGACTTCCCTTTTTTTCCTTTTTTTTTGTGGTCTTTAACAATAGAGTAAAAAAAATAAACAGTTCTTGGGATTGGTAAATAAATCATATTCTTGCTTCCCTTTTTTTTTTCTTTGAACGATTACCCAATAAACGAATATTTTATTATCGTTGTTTTGTTTAAGAATTATTTGATATCGTAATCTGTAGTTTATCGTTGCATTTTATTTCTTTTTTTTTATCTTCAAATTATTTATTACAATTTGCCATCTTTTTTTTTGTTATCTTTGTAATTGATCATTTTTCTCTACATTGATCCTTTCAGTTATGTCGATAATTCTATCAATGAATTAAGTCAAAAAAAAAGTAAAGATGAGGAAAATAAATTGTATGATTTTATTTTATATTTCAAATAAATTAGTATAATTTTTTGATTTAGCTCAATATAATGCAATCATTGACTCGATTGACAACGTAGGAATATTATTATCAATTTTTTTAATTACGATACGAGAATAAATTAGACGTAAGGAATTCGTTATTACTTTAAACAAATTTAGAGAATGTAAAAAAAGGAATCCTTCTCTTTCTCTTAAGGAGGAGGAGGAGGAAAAGGACGGAGTAGAAAATGGTAGAGAAAGAGGAGGTGAGTTATTTCGCAGACAGTTTAAGTCAGTTTACGTTGGAAACGGTATAACCAGGGGTTTATACGTCTCCTTTCTGTGTGCACATCTTCTTTCGCGTAATGTATTCTTCTTTTCTCTCTTTCTTTCTCCTTTTCTCAACGTTGAAGAGGTCTCGGTTACTCGTTCGCTCGTAAAACTGAAGCAACCTGCGCGTTTACACCGACACCGTCATCGGACCAACCAACCAACCAACCAACCAACCAACCAACCAACCAACCAACCAACCAACCAACCAACCAACCAACCAATGGATCATCCAAGATGAGAGAAACGACGAAAGAGGGAAAAGTATGGTCGGTCAATGAGGATATCATCGCGAACCAAACACTTGTGTTGTTGGTGCTGTTGCTGTTTTCGAACCACTAACGTTGCTTTCACAAATTAAGCAATTACTTAGAAACGTGTATGCTCTCTCTCTGTCTCTCTTTTTTTCTTTTTCCTCACCTTTTACATATGTTCCTCTTCTCTAACTTTCTTTACAATCCAAAATATTTTACTCACTTCCCCCATTTTTGTCTTCTTTATTATCTTCTTCTTATTTTTTTTTTCTGTTCTTGGTTATCGAGCTCAATACTATCACTGGTTTTATTTTCGAACAGTATTACGGATATATACAGTTCAGTAATAAAAAAGAAGGAAGAGTTATTCATCTGTTTTTTTGTTTTATTTCATTTCTTTTTTTTCAGACGATGCAAATTTGCGGTGCCGGACCATACGATCAACATCTGATGTTGGGGGAACACGAGCTTACCGATCACAGTCAAAGTTTAGCGGCTTTAGGGATATTTCCTGGTGCACTTTTGACTTTAAAGGTGAGTTTACAATTTTATCTTTTTTTTTTATAAATCAAATGAAAAATATTCTAATCTTCGAATATATTCGAAGAATCGAATAGAGACGATGTTAAATGATTGCCTTCTAAATTGGAAAGAAAATGCGAAAAGAATTTTAGCGTTAAATGCCTCGCGAATGAAGTCTCGGCTAAGAACTTGTGATTCGTGTAAGGACGATACGACGATATTTGTTTTGTTCTAAGAAAAGGACAGTGACAAAGAGATGTAATTTAGATTTAAGATCTAGCTACCGTTTCCCTTAAGCCCAAGACAATGGATAAGTAACGTCGGCAATGGCCCAAGATAACGGGAAGAACGACGTTCTCGTTTTGGGATTAACTCGAAACGCTTTCCTTGAGATTAGAAGCGTTAATTGGACTTACCACTCGAGAAATCGGAATCGTTAAGATTTCCCATTGAAGCAACGAAAGAGTTTGTTCGTTTGTCTCGGATAGATTTGCTTAATTGTACCTACTTTTCTAAGAATAAGATGACTCGGTTTTACTTTTCTCTGAATCACGATTTCGAGATCTTCTATTACTAAGAACTGTGTTGTCTAATATTTAGAATTTTTAATAATTCATATGACTGACTGACAAATGTCAGTCGATTTGACTTGTACTTTGATGGGTTTGAATCTATCGTTGAAATAGTTTCATTTTTGTCAGTTTAAATTCATTCATATTAAAAGAAGAAGAAGAAAAAGAAAAAAACAGGGGTAATAAAAGTATTTCTAAGGTATTAAAAGTTACAACAATGTTCAATCCAATTCTCGTATATATTAGAATAAAATTTTTATAATGTAGAAAAAGTTTGTTAAAATCATCACATTCTTGGCGAGATATGCTATACTAAAACCTGGCAAAAAACACAATAGGGAGAGGGCCAGAATAAAAGTATATCGATAATCATCCCGATCGATCGATAATACCGATTTCGATTCCGATCGCGAGACATATCTTCGACGCAGGAGAGAGAGAAAGAGAATGGGCATATATTTGTTTCTTTTTTTTCTTATTTTGTTTTTGTTTTTATCCTTTTTGTTTTTCTTCGGAACGCGTAGAGATATCTTCTCGCCAAAATTCACCGAACATCATCGTACGTTCGGGGTTAGGGTTTGGGATTTGGGGTATGGTTTCGGGTTTGGGTTTGGTTTGGTTTGGTTCGGCGTCGACGACGTTCCTGGGCTTTTTGCCGATTAAAAAGTGCGACCGAGCGCACTCCCGCGATGTTCGAACGATCGTTGAACACGATTCCTCGACGAGAGAAGAAAAATTCTTTCCTTTTCTTCGGTTAGTTCGGTCAGTTCGGTCAGTTAGTTCGTTCGTTCGTTCGGTGGCGCTCGTCGTTGGAATAATTTCAGCATTCCGTCGCATTCCTCCGTTCACAGTCGACTGATTTTATGAAAGCGAGTCGAACGAGTCTCCGACCGAGAAGAGAGCGGCGCTCGCCACTCGCCACTCTCTCGAAGATACTTTAAAACCGTTAACTTGTGACGTGCCTTCTCTCTCTCTCTTTCTTTTTTTATTCCCTTTTTCACTTGAGAGAGAAAGAGAGACAGAGAGAATTACGAGCAAGTATTGCTTCTCATCTTCCGACTAGTTTACAGGCTGTGGTTACACTAGCTGCGAATTATAATCGGCAATCACCTTCCCTCACCTTCCCTTACCTTTCCTTACCTTCCTTTACCTTATCTTACCTCGCCTTGCTTTACTTTGCTTCGCTTTACTTTGCTTTACTTTACTTTACTTTGCTTTGCTTTGCTTTGCTTGGCTTTGGCCGTGGAGAATTCAACGTAGACCTCTCGACTACACCTGGAAATCGTTTCGCTGATTTTAAACGCTCCACCGATCTCACGTTGACCTGAAAAGTGCGTCAGATATTTATTTTCTCTTTCTAACATGTAGTTGTTCGTTGCATTAATTGATTCACGTGTTATTCTTTTTAGATATTAAAATGAATTACAATTTATGAGTTTAGACGACTTAGTTATGGTTATACTACTTTCGTATCAGAGTCTTATCTGTCCGTATAATAAACGATTTGTATTATTGCATTAGTGAATTTTATAAAAGATATATGTATATATTTAGGGACGTCTGGATATTCAACGTCGATATCTAAAGGATTAATTCGATATAAATGTAACGATGACAAACAAGCCTTTTGCGGGTAAGAGTCAGTTTTTGCTCTTTTTAAACGGCCTATTTACGATCGTAGTAACAACGGAGTTGAAAAATTAGAGTAGTAGAGTAGAAAATAAGCTAAAAGGGGGTAGAGTCGATTCCGCAGAAAGGAGGCGAGTTTAGAAGAGATTCTAACGTCTTGAAAAGAGGAAGAAGAAGAAGATAAAGAAGAGTCCGTAAAGTCAGAGCTCGTTAGATGAGATCCGATGCCGATCGTAAAGATCATTGGTCGTTCTCGACGAAACGTAAAATGTGAATGATTTTTAAAGGATAATTCTGTAAATTCGTGGAAGAAAAGAATAATGCGTAGAAATATTCTTTTTTATTTATCTTCAAACTATCGGACCAATAACGGATTCTTAGTTTCTAGTTGTATAGAATTGTTTGAGGACAAAATCTGGCTTGTCAAAGTACAAAACCGTGAAACTACTGCTTCGTTGTTGCTATTACTGCTGTTGCTGCTGTTGTTGTTGCTGTAACAGCAAAAGCCTTCTCTATCCTTGATCCTGAGCTACCGATCGGATATCAGAGAACACAATGACCAGGATGACTTGCAAGGGGATCGCCCCGATTGAACTTCTTCTTGCGAGATATTTAATATAGCTACGTCATTCTTCGCGCAATTCAAGGCCACGCTTACAAAATTGATATATCTTTACCACTCTACCTACGTCCACCTTACATTACTCTTTTTTTCGTTAATGGATACAGATTAACGAGTTTAGTCATATACCTATCTACCTACCTACCTACCTACCTAGCTACCTATCTACCTCTCTCTCTCTCTCTCTTTACACTTATTTACCTACACAGCTGTAGGTGTTTCTTATTTTTATCTCCCTAACCGGAATCACGATTTTCTACGCTCTCTTTCAAGGACGTGAAATATTATTCATTGAGGAAATGTCTATCTTATTTGAAAACGTTAACTCGTTAAAAATTACCTATTTTTATTAAGGGCCGGAGAAGAAGGAGAAGGGGAAACAAAAAATCTTCCACTTCAAATACACCGATTGTTTCTTTGTACATGTGTTGGTAAAATTATGATGTTGAACTGACAATAAATCGATTATTAATATTATAAAAATTCAATTTTTAAATTTTAACTACGTTAACATAATTGTCGGTACACACGTATATTGGATTTTTAATAAACAATTCTAAATATAAATAATAATTTTACTAACTATACTATTTTTTTTCTTTTTTTAAATTTAACGAAATTTAACGTTAAGTTCAATAATTTTTGAACTTTAACTACGTTGACGTAATTACTAATTAACGTTATTACACACACACACATATATTGGATTTTAAATAAACTTAACTCTAAATACGGATAAGAATTCTACCAACTATACTATTTTCGTAATTCATTAAATTTCGAACAAAAATTTGTAAACAAATAAATAAATAAGAATTCTTGTAGTACATATTCGTCAAAGTAGAGATAGAATTTGTATGCAAAAGAATATATGATAAATATATGATAAATAAAGATAATAAAAGTCAAAGGGTTAGAAGTTGAGAAATCAAAATCAAGATAAAGAGTTAAAGAGAGAGAGAAAGAGAGAGAGAGAGAGAGAGAGAGAGAGAGAGAGAGAGAGAGAGAGNAGAGAGAGAGAGAGAGAGAGAGAGAGAGAGAGAGAGAGAGAGAGATGGAAGATGCGTCTTTTTGGAAGAGAGACAGACAGACAGTCGAGTATTAGAGGCGATAATAACGACAAGAAGCAATATCGTTTGGTACAAAGTCAGCTTGTTCTCTTCCCTTCACTTTTCCCTATTTTTTTGCAATTCCTCGTCGGTGTGCTCTTCATGGCTGATCGAGCGGAGTCTTTAGAGTCGGTCCGTCGAGTCTCCAACGGGCGGCACCCGCGTTTGATGTCGTGTGACGAATGTCCGCGTTGGACGCGCTCCTCTCTCTCTCACTCTCTCTTTCTCTCTCTCTTCGTCGGTCTCTTGGTTACTTTTATTTCTATCTTTTTCTATCTTACGCGAACCCTGGCAAAAGAGAGAATCCCGTATTACGGACTCTCTTCATAGCCAGCAAGTCAGCCAGCCAGCAAGTCAGTCAACCAACCAACCAACCAAACAACCAACCAGCCAGCGGCAACTCTACTGCGCCAACAGAAAATTGGAAACATCCGATGATAGGGCCTCTTTTATATACCCAGCAACCAAGACGAACCTGCAAAACAAAAAAAGAAAAAGAGGTGCGGGACTCGAAACCCGAAAAATAAATCGATCGATCGATCGATTCGCGTGGCTGCTTTACCCCGCGCAACATTCATTTGAGTCATTCATTCATTCGTTCATTCGTTCGATTATACGTTTGTGTTCATTCATTCGTTCGTTCGTTTGATATCAACGTAAGATTCGTATCGTGTTGATTTTATTACGATTTGGAGACTTCAATGCTACGTTTGAATCGATTGATACAAGAATTGATGAGAAAAGTTAACGAGCGTGATTTTTTTTTATTTATAATAATCGATCCAAATAGGAATTCGATCTTTTATCATAGAAAATCGCTCGTGATGATTGATAAATATTTTGTTGTTTGCATTCGTTAATATAAAATTTCCACAGATGTTTTCTTTTAGTAATTTCTAGTAAGTCGAAATACGTTTGGGAAATCGATGAGCTGCAATGAATACCAATAGCGTCATCGATCGTCCTTTTAGTCCCTTTCGTGGATTCTCTGGTAACGAGGAGGTAGACCGAGTCCAAGG